TGGATGGGAAGCAAACCACTGGCGGCTCATGTGGCTGATCTGGAGGTTATTTCTGTTGTGCCAAAGAAATTAATAGACTGAATAAATTATGCACCCTTCCATGGCGGGTTTTCTTAATCTTGAAACAGTTTCTCAATAAATTCAGGATGCATGGGGAGGGGATATAATTTTCACACTCAATGTGTCTACTATTTTCTATTTAATATTGAACTGCCTGTGGAATATTCATGTATACTGAATATTTTTATCATAATTGTTGATATTTTCAGTTAGGGATATAATTTTTATGGATCCACACAATACTAAATTCTTAGAACATAAAATCTTAGGGATGGAAGGGACCTCAGAATCCACCCGCCTGTTCAAGGGAGGAGACCTTATTCCACCCAGTGGTTGTCCACTCTATTTTTGAAAACCTCTAGCGATGTAGCACCTACAACTCCAAGAGGCAAACTATTCCATTGATTAATTATTCTTGCTGTCAGAAAATTTGTCCTTACTTCTAGGTTGTTCTGAGAATAATCAATCCCCGCTTTTCTGTTTAGCCTCCAGACACTTCATCATATTTGTTGCTCTTCTCTGCACATTTTCTATGGCAGCGATGTCAAACTCGATTTCATTGAGGGCTGCATCAGGGCTGGGGTGGGCGTGGCCAGGGTGGGCATTGCCAGCTTGACGTCACTCATGTCAAGGACACCTATGGTTGCCCGAGCGCTCTCCCAGTGAAAACGGGCTCCTGAGCTCAATTTTCAGCTGGGACAGCCTCCTGCAACCCTCTGCCAGCAAAATACGGCCCTCGTGATGCTCCATTTTCAGCTAGGATGGCTTCCTGCACCCCTCTGCCGTGAAAACAGAGGTCCATTTTCCCTGGCATTGCGGGCTGGTCCTTCGCTGTTTCCAGGGAGGCCCCATGGACCAGATCTAAGCTCCCCATGGGCTGGATCCAGCCCACAGGCCTCAAGTTTGACATCCCTGTTCTATGGTGTCAGGTTTTTTTTGTGTATTGTGGTAACCAGAACTATATGCAGTATTCCAAATCTGGCCCAATTAATGCAGTGTAAAGTGGCGTTATTACTTCTTATGATGTTATCTCTCTATTGTTGCAACCCTGGGCATCATTGGCTTTTTTTGGCAGCACACTTCTGGCTCATACTTAAGTAGTGATCCACTAGGACATCTAGAGCTCTCTATCACAGTTACTACTGTTGAGCCAAGAACCACTTATTTTGTACCTATGCATTTGGTTTTTCCTGCCTAAATGGAGGACCTTATTTTTCTCACCAGTGAACTGCATCTTGTTGGACAGGGCCCAATGCTCAGGTCTGTTAAAAACTTTCTGAATCTTCAGTCTATATTCCAAAATGTTAACAATCTCCCCCCCATGCACATATATTTGGTTTCATCTGCAAATTTGATGAGTTTCCCTTCTATCTCCTCATCTAGATCATTTATGATCTTGAAGAGTACTGAGTGTCAGCTTTGGAAGCCATATTGAGATCTGATGCTGCCACGCTGCCACAATTGACCCTGGGAAAGTGGGAGGGGGGAATTCCTTTGGGTATATCTAGTTAGACAAAATAAAATTATTTTGCTGATTCATGGTCAGGGAGTGTTGCGCATAGTGAAAAGGAAGTCTTACTTTGGGACGGATGGTGATTGGGCCATGTGATGTGGTGATGGGATTAGGGGATGGATTTGTAGTTTTTTACTTTTGCAAGGAAGCCCGGAACTTCAGATTCAGAATTCCACAGATGTACCAGTTACTATCCAATTAAAAGGAACTTTTAGGGGATGTCTGTCTCAGAGTTATTGGTTGGAATGGAGGTTTGCTGGAATGCTGACACTGAGTCAAAGACAGAACCTTGAAGTACCCCACTGCATGCTTCCTTCCATGTAGATGTAGTTCCATTAAGGTCTACACATTGGGTGTGGTTGCTCAGCCAATTCTGGATCCATCTGGTGGTGGTACTGTCTACTTCACATTTTCTACCTTATTAAGAAGTAGACTGTGATCTACTTTGCCAAATGCCTTAAAGAAGTTAAGTATACTATATCCATAGCTTTTCGTTGGTCCACTAATTTAATCACTTTGTCAAAGAAGAATAAAAGTTTTGCCTGGCATGATGTGTTTTTAACAAACCCATGCTGGCTTCTAGTAAATCACCTTGATCATTGCTAGATGTTCACAAATTTTATTTATTTATTATTAAATTTAACAATAAATCCTCCACTGGCTTTCCAGGATTTCCCCATGTATTGGTGTCAAGCTACTTGGCCTATAATTTGCTGGATCCAGTTTTTCCTCTTTTTGTAGATTGGTATCACGTCAGCTCTTTTCCAGTTCTCTGGTAATTCCCCTGTGCTACAGGAGCTTTGAAAGATTATATTCAGTGCCTCCAGGATTACGTCTGCCAGCTCTTTCAGAATCCTGGGATGCAAAGCATATAGTCCAGGTGATTTGTATTCATACAGGGTAGATAAGTATTCTCTTACTATTTCCTTACCTATTTTGACTTGTGCACCTATTCTATCTCCCTCAGTGCTGCTTTTAATAGATTGGGCTATATCTTTGTGTGTGTGTAAAAAACAGATGCAAAGAAGGAATTAAGCAGTTCTTCTGTTGCCTGTTACCTTCTTTTCATCTGTTCCCATTGGTGGTCCTATAAGTTTGTTGACTTTCTTCGTGGAAAGAAGGATTTTCTTGAAATTTTCTTCTTTCTTCTTGTTTGAGTACAACATTGAAACTAGAGCAATATAATGGGATCCTTTAGAGTGGTAATATCTCATAATAGCTATAGAGTACGTTGTGTAATACTTATTCTGGTTTTAAAAAATTAGAGCATTCCTGGAGAGAGAAGCATGGAATTACACTTTAAGATATTTACAAGTGCATACCTACTCAATGTGAATTCCATTTGTGAATTTTATGATGGACAGGAGGCTTCGGGGCAGTGAAATTGCACTGCCTCAAAGTGTCCCATTAGCTTGCAAACACTTTGTGGGCTGAGACTAGAAGCTTCTGGGGGCCTTGATCTTGCATAATTTCAGACACTCACTAGATTTTCATGCAGAAGGATGAAGAGGGCAGCAATTGTGGGGAACATTAGGTATCTCAGTTGGTAAGGGAAGGCCTTGGGTGATTTTAATCAGGTGGCCTGTTCCATCACTAGACCACTTCCCTAATGGCCTTCCCTATCCTGAGATACCTCATGTGCACTTAACAATCCATGCATTCAATTAACGAATGTGTGGACAAAAGCAGGGAGTGATCATGTTCAAGTTACATGATTCACTCTTAGGAATCCTTGGGTTACAAATTTAATTGGCAGGCTCCATTACATTCATAACTCAAGGATTACCTGTATTCTAAAGCTATATTTTTCAGGTATTTTCTACTTTGAAGCAGTAGGAAACTGAAAACTGTAGATGCATGTGGTTAAAAATGAAATTCATTCTATTTTATCTGCTATTAAGATCCTGAAGAAACATAAATCAAGAAAGTATAAATTCACAGTTACTATTAGATCTCAGTCCTTCCATATTTTTGTCCTGCTATTTCAATTAAAGATTGTTGTATATAGACATTTGCATACTCGTAATACAAAATTCCGATTGGACAATCACTGCCGCCTAGCGATTGGTGGTTAACAACGAATTATGATTGGCCGCCTAAACGGCGGGAGGTTTAAAATGATGCCATTGGTTGCGAGCTGCGAGCAGCCGCTATAAAAGAGGCTGCCGCGGCTCGAGTTTAGTTGAAGTTACTGACAGTTAAATAAAGAGCTGAACTCAACTCCGGTCTCGAGTCTACTTTGTTCTGGCGATAGAACAGAATGTATAGATAGAATGTATTAAGATAGAAAAATCTTATGAATATTTTTATTTTTAGATTCTATTGGTACTGATTGAGTGTTCATGAAGAATTCAAGAAGTCCTTACTGATTTTTCTTCATTTCATTTTCTTCATTTACCTTTCATGACTTGTGATGATTTAGTGAACAAGAATTCTTTTAAAGAAGAATGTATGATATGAAAATAGTAATCCCAATCAAGTTAATATTAAAGCAGAACATGCTTTAGATTTTCAAAGATTTAGTTCTATTGTAATAATCTGAAAACAGAGGCAAAATGCAATAAATAAATATATAGTAGTTATATAAACTATGAAATGGGAGCCAATTTGTTGTAGTGGTTAAAACATCAGGCTCAACAGCGAGAGATCTTGAGTTCTAATTCCATTTCAGGCACTGGCCTTCAGCCAGTCACTTTCTGTCATCCCAAAGAAGAAAGAAATGGCAAACCATTTCTGAAAATCTTTGCCAAGAAAACTGCAGGGACTAGTCTATTCTAGAATTAACAGACATAGACATAAGCTATGATGACTATGATTTAGAAACAACTAAATATTAATATTCATATAACACAAATGAATTTCTATACCATATTTTTTCCTTTCCATACAGTTATTGGACCTTGCTATTATTCATATAAATTACAACTGCAATCTAAATCCTTCTTTTCTAGGTTATTTTGTATCATCTGATATCAGTCTGATGGCAAAATTCCCAGGGATATTACATTGCTGTTTAATATTTCAAACAGTTTAAATATTTCCTGGAACCAAGTTAAACATAAAGGGAAGAAAATTAAGTCTATTTTCTGACAATGCAACAGAAGTCATTTCTACTTATGAATAATATGCATATTTTCTGTATACCATTGAAGCTGTAATCTATATATTGTACACATATTGAAACTAAAGTAAACTTCATTATACTTGATATATAATTTCTTTCAAAAACACTGAATTAGAAGCAAAATATCAGCTCTCTGAATTTTTGCTATCTTTTTTCTTTCTATAAAGACATTGAAATTCATTGTATTAAACTTATTAATAATGTTGAAATATGAACTTATTAATAATGTTGAAAAATTTTGAAATATGAATATATATATATAATATTTATGATAATGATAACACCTGTGATTTTTCTTCTTAGTGCATCGCAATATGAGCCAAGCTTGTCAAGGAGGATGTGCAACATGTTCTGAATATAATGGATGCATGTCATGTAAACCTAGACTCTTCTTTTTTCTGAAGAGGAGTCACATGAAACAGACCGGGATGTGTTTTTCATCCTGTCCTCCTGGGTATTTTGGACAACGATCCCCAGAACGAAATGAGTGTATGAGTAAGTTGATGGAATGTTGCAACCATTGCTTTCTAAATTTTGCTTAATATTTGGAAAGTTTTGGACTTTGAAAGCACAAAAAAAACCATGAGCTGCTGGTTAATTGATCAGATAATAATAGCAGATATGACTGCTCATTTGAGCTCACGTCAATAAGCTTCGTGCTATATATTTGTTCTGACTTAAGTATCACCTGATTTATTCTATATCCTCACATTAAATACCAGCATGATGACAACAATAAATCAAGGTTTATTTAGAATCTGAATCTAAAATACAATGTTTCATAGATATTGTTATTAGATACACAGTTTGAGACTGTTGGAAACTTAATAATTCAAGTCCAAATCAAAAATCTAAGAATTATTAAGTTACTAAGATTTATTATTATTAAAGTATGTCTAAGATTTAATATTAAATAATATTGTTATTTACATTATGAACCCCCTCTCCATTGAGGGCTTCATCAGGGCTGTGGTTGACCTCAGGGGGCCAGCTGGGCCTAGCCAACTGGGTGGGTTTGGTCAGCTTGACACCACTCCCCAAACTGCTGGTCTATTTTTGCACTGAGTAGACTGGCCCAATGTTTCCTCTTCACATTGGGTAGACCAGGCCAAAGCGATGTGGGCCGGCTCCTTACATTTTCCAGGATGGTCCCACGAGCCAAATCCAACCACATCGCAGCCCGAATCCAGCCCACGGGCCTTGTGTTTGACACCCCTGTTCTAATGTGCATTCAGGGGCTCATCTTCAGTCATCCCTGCAGTTGATACTGTTGCTTATAATAAATCCTAAGATACAACATGGGTTTTACAATTAAATTTTCCCGGGTACTTACACAATACAGAAGCCTGATGATGGCAGATGAGATTCTGCCAAAATGTTGCTACAACTTTAAAAGCACAACTATAATGATGTGGGAGAATACCAGAACAAAGCTGAATACCATACATATATGTGTGTGTGTGTTTGTGTGTGTGTGTGTGTGTGTGTGTATGTATGTATGTGTATATCTATATCTATATATATCTATATATCTATATATCTATATATCTATATATCTATATCTATATCATCTATATCTATATCTATATCTATATCTATATCTATATCTATATCTATATCTATCTATATCTATCTATCTATCTATCTATCTATCTATCTATCTATCTATATGCATATTAATTGTCAATAACTTATGAATATTCAACACTGAACACTCCAGCAAGAGAATAATCAGGGAAGCCATCGAAATAGAGAAACACCCCCATAACATGAATAAATGGGATGATACCTCCTGCCTGCCAGGAACCTAGCCCTCACCAACAAACGAGTCCCAGCCATGAAAACCAACACCAGACCCAAAACAACACGGGACACCACTGCCAATCCCCATCAGACCCAGGCCCAAAATGAAGGACAACCACCATCCAGAAACCAGACCACGGCTTCGCCAGCTGTCACACCCCCGACCCCAAAACCAAACAAGCTGACACACACCAACACAGACCCAGACCCCAAACTCGAAACCAGACCAAAACCCAGAATGCTACATCACAGCCACCCGCTCAGGATATCACATCAGAAAACTCAGGAAATTACACCACAAGAACCAAGAAGTTGCAACACAGCAAATGACCCAGGAAATCTCAGTACAAGACCAAGGATACCACAGCAATAAATCTCACAAGGTCATCACACAACCCATTACCCAAGCCGTTACAACACAGGAGGCTAATGGAAAAGAGATCAAAACACAAACAACCCAGGAGATTACAATGCAGGACCCAGGATACCACAACAAAAGAACTTGCAAGCCCATCACACAACCCATTACCCAAGCCGTTAAAACACAGGAGGCTAATGGAAAAAAGATCAATACAAAACAAACAACCCAGGAGATTACAGCACAAGATCCAGGATATCTCCACAACAAAACTCACAAGGCCATCACACAGCCCATTATACCAACATCAACTCCATCAACCAATCAAGAGGCAGCAGCGCAGCCAACCAGCCCAGCACACCAGCCCCCACCACCAGTATTTATAGAGAGACGGCAGCTCCGATCACACACTGCTTGCACTGGCACAAAGCCGAAAGCACCAGCCTGAGGATGGCGAGTGGGACCTCGCCGAAACGTCACCAATCTTACTCTTACCAATCATACTCTTAATCTTAGTCATACTCTTACTCTTACCAATCATACTCTTAATCTTACACGGGAAAAGACCCAAACACACCTAGACATACATACATACATACATATAAATGGAATCATTTTTATTTAAAATATTTATAAGTTGTTGACAGCATAAAGCCTATGGTAGTTTACAAATACATACAATTTATGAAATATCACCTTTACAAAACAACACAAATGTGAAACCCTTCTTAAATTTGTCATTTTTGCATAGGATATTCTTTCCAAAGAATGAAATTCACCAATCTCATCTTCCTTGTATTTATTCACATCAGTTTTTCTTCCTGTTTTCTTTCTTTCTTTCTTTCTTTCTTTCTTTCTTTCTTTCTTTCTTT